GGAAAAGAGACACAACATTTCGGCTTTTCTTTTCAGCAGGAATAAACCTGTACTTGTTCTAATTCTGTAATGCTGTTCATCCCAAAGGATCTCAAAACACTCTACATATGGTATATGAAAAGAGCCACTTCATCCAACTCTGAAGTACAGCCCCAGTACACAGCAAGTCACCCATACTTCACCAGCTGAATTATGGGAAAACGTTAGGAAGGACTGATTTGATAAACCCATAGTGGAATTTAGCCAGGACACCTGCTGATCTTTTCTTTCATGATTCCTACCAATACAGGTGGGGGGCATTTCAGAATTAGGTTTTTAATGACAGCTTTTTTGATTTGATGTCTTTGGTAAAAACAGCCAGTCACAATCTATAAATGACACTTTAACATCTACTTATCTCTTCTTCCTTTCTCCTAACTTTATCTGTAACTTCAGTGCTTTTTAGACGAGTATTGAAAAGATTATCCAGCACAAGGCAGAGAGAGAGGCTGTCATGAATTGGTTTCTCATGGGACTAATTTAGATCTCCTTTTCTCAGTGCAGATAACTTCATTTCTTAGAAGAGTTTTCCTGTGGTTGATCTGCAAGGTCTACTAGTCCCTGCTTTGCATGTTACAGCATTCTGTTCTGGATACATGCTTTCTCATGCCCTCTACAGCTTGCTTTACCATAGTCAAAATGCATCACACCTTGTTTGAAGTTTAGAAATTACTGTAACAAGAAACATTCATCTCTTAAAGTTTGCTGTTCATTCTGAAACAAATTAAACCTGTTCCTTGTCTTACCTCCCTGGATGGAAGATGGTGAGCTTCTCTGTTTAATGAAAATTAAATGTTTTATTACAAAATGTTGGTATATTTCCATACCAGAATAACCCCAGCCGTGGAGTAATTTTCAGTCAAATGAGCAGAGAGGCTTATTTATTATAGTTATTTACACTATATGAGATAAACAACAGATAACAAAATGTAAAGCTGACATTTTCTGATGTGTACATTTATATATTAACATTCGTAATTTAAATTGACATACATAAATGTATTAATGGAAAGCCAAGCTTTTGTTATGGAACTTGGGAATAACTAATTGAACGTGTATCTTGCTTCATTTTTCAGTTGAGGTAAATATCTATAAATTCTAATATTTACACTTGTATAAATATCCCTATTTACATAAAGAGCATGTTTTCAGGAGCTAGGATAGGAATATGTCTGTATTCTTAACCAACAGTCAAAATGTGTCTGACTGTTCTGCCGTGCCTCTCATGAATGATGAAAGATTATTTATAGCATCCTTTATTTTACTTATCATCCTTTTCTAGTTAAATATTTAAAGCAAATGAAAACAGTGTGTGAAACAGCAGACTATTTCTCTTGATTTTCTTTGCTTGTTAAAAGGAGTCCTGGCTACATGATGATTGAAACAGTGCTGCGTCAACATTAATTCATTCGTTCTGCTTGAGTTGATGCAAAATTGTTCTGCTCTGCAGGATTATGGAAGCAGAACCCTATTACTGGGAATTAAGAGGAAAAGATTCACAGAATTAGGACTTCATGAGGGAAAACAAAGAGTACATATAGTATGAGTTACCTTTTTTAAAACCTTTCTTCTTTCATCTGGTCTGCTGAGCTACAAACTTAAGTCCTGGGTGATTTTCTCACCTTTTTAAACATTATTTATCTTTCACAATATTTTGGCTTTATCAAACCCATTGTAAAAATGAACCTTCTAGAATTAGAAGAAGAGAGTACAAAAATAAAAAAAGTTAGCCAAACATAAATTAGATTTATTATGAACGTTGCAAATGAAAGATGAAACCTAATAGGTAGCATTTTAAAGCTTTCTTAAGTTTGGCAATGTGCCCTAAAGAAGCATGATTTTTTATGAAGTTTCTGAACCAGGATTTAATCATGGAAATGAACAATTAAAAACTTAACTATTTTGAGAAACCTTGTCCTGTACTTTTTCATTCCTTAATTGTGGCTTCAATGATACATTTGTGCAATTTAATAGCATTCATGAATTTTGTAGCATGTAATATTTAATAATTTGTATCAAGCAGCACAGCTCTTGGCAAAGTTGAATTCTCTAGGTGAAATTTAGAAGATGTACTTCAAAGATGGGGTTATCATTTAATAAAGTCCCGTGACAAACTAATCTCTGTCTTATGATTTTATGTAGCCTATTTAAAGGCGGACCTCACTATCCTATATTTAGGCCAAATGGTAAATAACATAAGTAATTGTTCAAGAAGAGAAAAAATATCAGACATGGTAAAAGGTTAGTTATTCTGCTCAGAACAATCACAGGTGACCAATGCTTGAACCTTCCAAGCTGTTTACTGCTGGATACAGAGCAGGATTTATCAAATGGTCAGGCAGTTGTACTCAAATGCTGAGGAAAAAGCAGATATCCATGACGTGTTTAAATAATAAGACTCTGAGGCTTATCCGCCTGAATTCGTATTGTTTGGAATTGGAGGGAAAAGATGATATACAGTACATTTTAATTAGACCTGTCAGCTTAAAATAAAAGCTATAATAATATATTCATACCTACATACAGTAATCTTTTTGATTATTTTAGGACATTCCACAACCGTTTGTAGAGTTCTGCAGACCTCTATGACAAATTAATAAAAAACATCCTATTTGACGCCTGTAAATAGGAGTGAATAAATGAAAATGATGTTTGGGATTTTTTTAAAAAGCTGTCAGGTTGAGCTGTGCATCACTGTTTCTCTGTTTCTCCACGGACAGAGCCTGCCAAGGAGAGACAAAAGCCCAGGTCGAGATCCATATCCATCATGGGAGACTCTGAACCATAAACTGTGCTTTTCAAGATGGAAGTTCCTACGGTTTTCTACTAATATTACTCTGAGGGGGCCTCCAGGCCTGCCATGATAATGATTGGCTGAGACTAGTCAGCTGAGGCATGAAAGAGTATTTTTTTTTTTCCATGAGGCTGCAGTGGAGAAAACCAAGGCGAGTCTAAATAAGAAGGAATGAAGAACTGACAGCCAAAAAGGCAAAATTACGGATACCTATCTAGGCAGGCAAACAGACGCAACATGCTTTCATGATTTGATGCAGCATGATTTCTGCAAAAGAAAAGTGATCGAACAAGCACGGGTATCAAGCGCAGCATTGTTCTCATAAAATTGAATTGCCTTATCAAAGATCTTCCTTTTTAAGGTGGGGACTGACACAAGTATTAAGCAAAGTGTCAGTGCAGCTGTACGTAAAGGTAGCGAATGAGAGGCAGCCCACTTTATTCATTTTGGTTGCAAGAAGATTAATTTGAGAATTTCATTCGATTGGTAAGATCCCAGCAAGACAGCTGGCCTTTGTTGTATATCCTGAACTTTATCTAATTTTTTTATCAGAATAAGTACAGAATTCATTCAAAAATACATACATAGCACATTATGTCTCAGTTACACACAAAACACAAGGAGCACAATAAAGTAGATGCAGATTAAACCCACAGAGAAATAAAAACATAGACTGTTTAAGATCTAAGAGAGGTGGCAGAGCGGATCTGACATGAGGCTGAAAAAGTTAACAATTTCACGACTGACAACTCATAAGTAATAAATGGATTTAGAATGACATAATTTGGGCATCAATACAACCTATTTGGTGATAGCGAATGAAGGGGTTCCACATCTCTTTATATTCCAATTCTTGTTTTTTGAGGGACATGATTTTTCCAGTTTCAGGTTATCTACCATGAATGAGAGCCACTGAGAAAGGGATATTTTGCTTTTCTCTTTCCAGTTGAGTAAAATAGCCTAAATGTATATCCTAAAAGAACTAATCCTAACCAACAGTGAACATTGTCGTCCTCCCTTTCCTGTTTTCACTGCCAATCGTGAAGAAGTCCACTGAGATACATTTTTTCAAAAATGAAATAACACAGAAACAACCTTTTGATTATCTCATACTTTGTAAGGAGAATTGCGCCAGACTTCCGAGTCTTTTCTGCTAGTCTGTGTTCGTCTTTCACACATTCAGCAATGATTCTGAGGGATTTAATAGAAAGTGCAAATGAAAATGACTTGCCAAACAAGGGAATCTGTAGACCTAAGAAGTGAGCTTAGGAGAAAGATCTAGAATGGAAATACCAGCCCACTGGAGGACATGTTTTCATGTTAGCTATGCAATGATGTGTAGCTAAAAAAACATACATTGTCTGTTTGGTTCGGAGGAATATGCATAAATTGAGGAATACAGTAGCCTTTAGATTTTTTCATACATCCAATGAACCAGGAAAAAGAAGCATCATATAATAGAAAGATTTAAAGATTGGATAATGGATCCTGCTGAAAAAAATAAATGTACTGTCTTTAATACAGAGGCCAGAAAATAAAATGGCCACAGTTATTAATACTTTTATCATTTGTATGTAGTAATATCCTCTGGCATATATTACTCTGACGACATGCCTCCGTAGTTTGAGCACATGTGAGTGGTCTCGCAGCCTGTGGTGGACAAAAACACTGGTGTTCCCTTCCTGACAGGACTGCACTATACCTTTACATTTCTCAGTACTGGACAGTTGAATGTTCTTGATCCAGCTTGTCGTTTTTTGTATTAATACGAATAATTTGTGGTGTGAATATATTTGACCCTTGAGTTTTCCAGAATTTAATTATAACAAATATTATTTTTCCCAGTTCGGTGCTATTATGATAACAGTATAACATTTTGTGGTGTTGTATCTCTTTCACGTTGTGAAGATTCAGCCATGGAAGTAAAATTTATTTTTTACTGCTTCATTTATTTATTTCTTTTATCCCTTATACTCAAAATAATTACAAGCAAATAAAACCTGATGCTTTACTTTTCTTTGATGCGTTTAGGTTTTATGCCAGTCGGAAAAATTGCAGCATGGTACATACTGTATAACTAAAACTCAGCTGTACTTGAAATTAATTCAACTCAGAGTCCAGCAGGCCATTGGTGATAAATGAGCTAACCCTTCCATTTTCCTTCCAGTTTTCCAGAGCAAAGTCTTTGTTATTGGATAAGCCATCCATCCATGGCGTCAGTGCAGGGCGGAGCGAAGCAAACTCCAGATTCCTCTTCCTACAGCAGTGTCTTAATTCTCGGGACCATCACAGCAGCCTCTGCCTTTGTGATCACGGTACTCATCGTGCTGCTGTGCATGGGATGCAAAAGGTAAACCCTTAAAACCAAATGCAAGCCAAGTGGTTGCAACTTAAAGCCACTTTTAAAGTTCACATTACTTCCAGACTCTCTGATCTTGGTGATTCCTTTAAATTCAGGAGGAAGTGATACAAAAATTTGATTGGACAAATAAAAGGAACGGATCACCTGCGGTATTTACTCCAGGTATCTTCTTTGGAGTCTCGGTGGCATCTTTTTACCTTTAAGGCAAGCAGTGAGACAAAAAATGTGGTTATTTCTGGGACAAGTATGCTGTTAATACATATTCTAGAAGTCTAAGTATCATATGGCCCCATTCCAGTTTCCCTCAGTTTTAGTTTATTCAGTTACAGAAATATTCAGACAAAGCCAGTGAAATGCGTCAGTAATTTTTTAAAGTGCGCAACATTCCACAAATCAAAGTTTTCTTTGTTGTTGTGTTCTGGGTGCTTGTTTACTCATTTAGTCATTGTATTGTCTTTAGAGCAAGATGACTACAATATACAGTACAGCAAGATTGCTTTTAAAGGATTAAAGAGGTACTTAGTCGGTAAGGTACAGACAATGTACTTTGAAATGATAATGTCTTGGTTTACCACAAATTGCTTTTCCAGCAAACTGGCATATATACAGTACTGAAGCTAATTTCTTGTTCAGATAGCTACAGTGCGTCTCTCTTTTGCTGCCTGAGACATGAAGCATGTAATGTATTAGAAAAAGATCAAATTACACTCAGAGCAGAATTTATATGTTAATTATGATAGCCAGTTTCTTCATTTGCCAAAGAAAAAGGCTTTTACAGTACAAAAGGAAGCTCAGTTGTAGGAATTGAGACCCAATCCGACATTTTTTTGTGGTCATGTTGTCGGGAATAGAATAGAGTTTTTTGTGAACCACACAAAAGTTACTTCAATTTGTTCCATATTTTTGCCTCTAACCCTTTTTTGTATATTCAGTTTTTGTAATAAATTAATTTTAACATTACTGTATCCACTGCCAAGAGCACTTTGAGGAAATGTAGTAATATAGTATTAAATACCAATTATTATATATAAAAGGAAATGAAGGAGAGTAAGTTATTTAATTTACATCAGAACAATTTTTTTTTGCACTCTGCAAATCAGAATGTTCAATAATCAGTCTTTTAGGGTAACTTTCTTTGTTAGTAAAAAAGTTGAAATCATGTTTGTGCTTAATGTATGTAAGGACCAGCCATCATCTCAGTTGTGCTAATGAGTGTTTTAGCACCCGCATTAAACATGTTTTTTTGCCATTCATGAAGAGGTATGTTTGGCTCTTGTAATCATTTATTTTTTCACATTCTAAAACAATTAATGTTACCTTGTTTAGAAAGGAAATGTTTTCTAATACTGGTGAACTGAAAACTAAACTTAAAATTTAAACTCATTACTTAATCTAAAAACATGTATATTATTTCATTCTATTATGAAATTGTAGAAAAAGGAAAAGAATCAGAAATGTTTTGACCTTGAATGTTGGTTTGAGTTCAAAAGCAAATCTTTGTGATTTGCTGTTTTAATCTGAGCATGCCTATGCATGCAGTGTACAAATCTAATTTCTTAGTGATGACCCTGATGTGCACAAGCATCTGTTTATAAAAAATGAAACATTCATTCAGGTCCATGATTCTCGTGGAAATTGACTATTGCTGTATCAAGTTTTCTAAGATTCTAGTTGTTTTCATCATCCGTCTGTGGTTTGGGAGAACTGGAAAAGCAATGAAATCTATGTACAGAAGATGGTTTATCTTCATTTTTTACTATGTATTTCAACTTTGAAGCCCCCATAGCATTTAACAAGAAATATCTAGACTAAAATTACATTAGTTGACAGATATAACAAGTTTTTATTAAAACTGAATTCAAGAACCTATAGAACTGATGGGTGATCAGAAACATAAAAAAATTGGTTACTTTGTGTATTGACACCTCCAAAAATCTGAAAAAAGTTGTCTTTACCAGTTTTATAAGAGTATGTATATGTTCTTGTGCTTCTGGAAACTACATTTAATCACTCTGGATGTACTGTATCTGTCTTACAGTAAATGTGGCATCTTCTGTAAAGAAAGGAGAAGTGCTTCATACTTAGTAGTGGAAGTATGTTGCCCTTATCTGTTGTACTTTAGATGCCACAGTGATCTCTGCAGTAGGAAACTGTTGAGCAAAACATGCAAAACTAAAATATAAAAGCATATTGGCTGCTGAAACCCATCAAAAGGAGGAATCTTTTCAAGTCTGTTTTGGAACCTATCAAACATTTCCAGGCTGCAAAGTTATTAGTATGTCTAGTCTGTTTGCATGGGACTGGAGACAGCTGCCAACTGGCATTTTTGAAGCTTTGCTCAGAGTGCTTTCAAGCTCTGCTTCTTGGGGAAGAAAATTATGTCTCACTTGTCTACAGAGTGGGGAGTGGGTGTGAAACGTATGCTTGTTGAATGCTTCATAGTGGGGAAAAGTAATTGGTAATGTATCTTAGGACACAAGAATTATTCACACTTCAACAATACACTTTGCACATTACCATAGCCAGAAGTATTTTCAGTAGGATTGTTTCCTTTTGATGATGAGCAGCTTTCCGGTTCAAAATCTGTGCTGATCCACCCAAAAAAAATTCAAATGTTGCTTACAGATATTATATCTGAGACTATTTTATTTGTGTTACATTACAGAAAAGGCGACTGATTATCGGATGGTAAATGTATTTGGCATCCTTGCAGCTCTGGATGGCTTAGATAAAATTGATTGATTTCCTCGTATAAATGCCCAACTCTTCCGTCTGCAGAGGCAATTCTTATATTATTTTTGCCTTCTTTTACTTCTGCTTTAGTCGCAATCGTAGTATTAATCTGTGACAAGTCCTGTTCAGGAAGATCGATTAGGCTCCCAAGTAGATAAAGGAAATTGTGCAGTTAATGAATTTACAGTTCCCTTGGATTTGAAATACTTTTTTTAAATTTAAATCATAAGATCTATTATTTCCCTGCAGTCTTATTCTTAATTGCATTCCATCATGCAAAGACGGATTACTTCTGTTTTAGACAGAATTTTCGTAATTACATTAATTTGTGTTTGGATTTTTTTTTCAGGAAGGAGAAACCAAAAAGAATCCAGGCAGATGGGGTAAAACTGATGGACATGGTGTGTAATTTGTAATTTGCTGTTGTTGTAAACTATGCCACCACTGAGCAATGAAAATAAGCAGGGATGTGAAAGCTGTCTGGTTAGTGAAATAGATTATGTTCATATTTTTTACCCTCGCAGGCAGCAAGATGTGCATCCTGTTGTTCATTCAGTTTTCTCAGGCACAGTATAATGTTACAGTTTTGTGTCATGGAAAAATACTCAGAATTTAAACGATTCTGCATTTTTCACTAAAAATATAACAACATAAAAATTTTTCAAATGTGTGGCAGCCGGTCAGCTCATTTGGGTTGCTAATTAATCCAAGGACCTCATCCAGCTGTTTTGTGGTAGGGTGTCTGCTATAATAGTATGGTTGGATGGATCTTTCAAAAACAGATTTTTCCCTGCTCTTTTTAAATGTCATGTACTTTTTAAATCTTCCTGAAATAAGGTGTAAGACCACTATGAATTTTCTAAAAATAAAAACAAGTTGCTCTGTGGTATTGCACTGTTTTTATTTTTGTGTTTCTCATGAATGAAGTTTATTTGTTTTAATTTCATGGTGCATCTGAGTATTTGATAATATCCTTAGCTATACTGAGTTTCGTGGACATTTCAATACTTTGTCAGTAATACATTCTCACGAGTAATACTCTAAATAGAGTTTCAAAGTTTTCTTGTTCCTGTTGGCTCTGTTTTCTGTGTAACCAAAAACAGTGAATAAACTAACTGGCTCTTGTTTTACAGAATTCACTGAGGCAAACAAAGCTGCGCTCCATTAGCAAGTCTGACACAAGGCTTCATGATATAAACAAACTAGACTACAATGCAAGAAGTAAGTGTGGGAGCTCTGATCTAGCTTGCTAACTATTAATGATAAATTATTTAGTGTTCAGAACTCTGGAAGCTCTTCATTAGAAATTAAGTTGGGTACGTACTGTAGCTTGAGATTCATGGACACTGTTTTTCTGTCAGTACACTGGCCTTTATTTTTGGAATTGCAACAATGCACTCTCAAGATAAATCCTGTTTTCTGAAGAGCTAGCTTATTCTGAACTAAATACCAAAATCCAAGAATTCATCACGTACAGGTTCCTCAAACGTACTATTTTCCAGATTAATCTTTTCTGTGCAACATAGGTATCATTAAATTCACAGCTCATTTCCATGTGTATTCTATTACATCTGTGTAAAATTAGTGTACAACTGTCCGAGAATATATTGTTATATTATCCTTTATAGGAAAAAGGGTGTCTGTTGTAATATTTTTTCTCCCTTTCGAATTACCCAGTTCAGACTGTAGTGAAGAACACAAAAGCATGAGGTCTTATTATCTCCAGCGGGACTTTTATTTGAATGCATATCTTTTTTTTTTTTGCTCCTTGTAGAAGCATCGAAAAATCGTCCAGCCAGCATGGATCTCCTGTACCTTCCCAACCGCAGGTCTGACTTGGACTTGCGATGCCCTCAAAGCAGACAGCTCCCGAAAATTCCTCTCGGTTCCGGGGCGGAAAGGGAGCACACCTATTCTGAGGTGAGGCCCCGCGCCCCAGAAGATGCTCTTTATGAAAGCGTCGGGGGCAAGAATGAGGCTGAGACAGCAGGCAGCGCTACACTAGTTCAGCCGAAACCACAAAACCCGGCCCAGCCCAATGGGAACGGCATCACAGCCCCCACAAATACCCAAGCCTCGGACGCTGTAACGGCTGAGTACGCCTGCATCCGCAAGGTCAGGAAGAACGACAAGACCCCTCTCCAGCTGAAGCAGCCTGAAAATGGCACAGGTTCGAGAGAGCCAGAAACCATCCGCTCTAACACAGAGCTACACCCTACACATCGCAAACAGGATCTGCCAAGAAAACCCATTGATGAGTTCCATTTGCTTTCTTTTCCCAAGGTAAGGCTGATGCTGTACTGGTCGTGAGTCTTTAATTAAAATAAAGAACTTTCACCAGGCTTTATTTATAGCCCTTATATATTTATATTCAGAACAACAGAGAGGCAGCTAACAATAACAAAGATTCCTGGCTTTGAATCATAAGGCCTGTTTCTCTGGGTACATTTTACAAAGGGAGATCAAGAATAATTTGTGAAGTTCCTTCAGGGTAGAGCACTTTGAAGTCTTGATGAGCTTCCTGTTTCCAAACATGCCATCTGATCCTTGATTCGATCAGACCATTCCGAAATGTACTGTTTGCATGGCAACGATGCTAGGCTTTGTGGCACGAAGGGCTTTTTTTTTGGTGAACTTGCAGAATGATTTCCATAATTCTGATGCAATTGATGGAAACCAGCAGACAAAACATGTGACTCGCAAATCCTAATCCATGAACACTGAAGCTAACTGCTTGAACACTGAAGCAATTAACACTTCGGGATTTCATAAAGACAGTCTGAAAAGATGAAGACAACATAAAATATTGTAACGCAACGGGGGCTCAGACGGGAGGCATAAAATAGAAATAGAACACATTAATGGCAAATATTCTATTTTTACATATTGCAAATAAAGCTTTTCCTTAAATGGTTTTACTTTCGAGGCCATACGTAGTCAAAAGAAGTATTTGTGAGAGCTTTAGCTTTGATTAACTGGGCACCAGTGTTTTAATGTGCATGTCAGATTTATTTCCGTCCACCAGAGGGCACTAACTAGTCCAAATGCTGAGTTCGGCGAAATATAACAAAGGCTGCAATTCTGCAAACAGCGGTTTGGTTTAATTCCATCAGTGTTTCCTGTTCCTCCTACTTATTTTCTTTTTATGTGCTAGACCTTTCAGTATTTCATACAGTTTCAAATATTTCTGTTCATTTACTGTGCGACCAATATAGGCTGAATCTCATTCTGTTTATAATCTTATGGTTCCTAGGGTTTATAATCATGTCTAAAGTGGATGTATAAATTAATACAAAATTTGTACAGTTTTGCAATAGAATAGTTCACTTCCAAATTGGACCCCTGATGTACTCTTACCGTAATCGCCTCCACACAGTCTTCAGTCTTGACTTAGACCTTGGCCTGATCTTTGCACGTGTAACTAAGCAGTGATCCTTAGGTGACTGAACATTTCCCTGATTCGCCACTAGTCTGTGGAACACTCATCCAAAGGGCATAAGTGTTAGTGACAAAGTGACTCTATTGTATTCAGATAAAAACAATTTTAGACGCTGGCTCTTGGAGCTTGATCAGCTGTTGATGTTTATTGTTGTTTTAAGTAAATAGGTTTTAGTGCTTTAGTTACATTTTTATCTGCTTCGATCTTATGAAGGGTTTGGGGGTGTTTTCATGTGAAAGTGCTGTAGAAAATGATAGCTATAATCATCATCATTATTATTATTCATTTGGAGTTTTCAAAGCAATGCTTTCCTCTATTTTCCTGGTTATGTATTTGATTTGTGTACGTGTAGATTGTGAGTCTGTGGAAATTATAAACAATAAAAACTTAATATTCAATGAGGGCAGGTTAACAGACGGCTCTGAAGCTTGTGAGCTTCTACAAATAAGACGTCTGTCTGCTACCTTTGTTCGTGCACCTGCCTCACCTTTCTTCTTGATCTAAGTGTAAACCTGGCCTGGTTCCCAGTTCTACCTCTTTTTTTTCCATGGTGCAGCTAACAGCATTTCTCTCAGGTTACGCGAGCTTCCGCTGGATTAACAGATGCCGGTCTGTCATGTGTACAGTGCATGCGGCCACCGCATACAGTTCTTGCTGAATTCACTGCCGTGCCGGCACACTAGACATCATTATGTAAGAACTTGGTAGATGGCCACGGTGTATGTTTTGTATTAAAACCAGTGTGGAAAAGCAGAACCAAGCTGGTGGTAAGAGGGGGGGGGAGGTAATTTGGGGGTGAGAAGTGTCAGGTAGGTGTGTAACACATACAGCAGTTACTTTAAGCTTCACTCATAGTGATGTGTTTAGCAAAGGAAAAACACCCCAGAACACCCAGAAATAGACAAAAACCAAGATATTTTTTTATACATTATTGAGATAAGGGTATATATATGGTGTTGAAATAACATTGCTAAACCAGTTGTAAAGTGTTGCTAAACAGTGATTTACATTTCGTCCTGAAAGGTATATAAATGCCCCCAGTGTTTTTAGCTGGACACCACATCTCAAAGCCGATCCAAGTTGCAAGCACTTGTAAGAGGTCCATCCCGAGTTATGAATTGATGCACTTTTCTGGTGGTGTTTGCTCTAAGGAAAGGCTTTAAATCGCTGATTGTACTTCTGTTAATTTAAAATTGTCAACACATATGAAATATCTGAATGGGGATGCAATCCAATATGCAGCTAGCACATGATTTTCATTGAATTTGTTTGATCACAATGCCACAGTGTTCTTAGTAAGATATACAATTATGCATTCTCCTCTAGGGTGTACTTATAGAAAATGCACATGTTTGATTAAAAGCAGGACTTATCTCTGAGACTTTAGTGTTTATGGCACAGTCATTAAAACAAAAGGATTAGCACATGTCTTGCAGAAGGTTTACTGCCTTATTTTATTAGCATAAAACTAAAACACCTGGCATAGTATCATTGGAAAAAGTTTGTAAAAAGAGTCAATTCTGTTTTTTGCCGATATTTACTGTAGCTGTCATGCTTTCAAATGAATGACTTCCATAATAAAAAGAAAGCTTTTTAAACAGATGACTCAACAGGCTCTTGTTCTGTACAGAAGATGACAGAATTTTCCTGCACTTCATTTTCTTTGGCAAACACTAGTTTTTTTTGTTGCCGTTTTGTACTTAGGGTACATCTGTTGGTGTGCTACTCTGCAGAAAGTCACAGGCCAGGAAAATACAGTTAATTAAAGACTTGTAATTACCACCTCATCATGATTTAAATTAGTTACCTACAGTACAGTACTCAAAATATGCAAGATGTTTGAAAAGACAATCATGCAAAACTAAAGACAAAGAAGGATTTCATACTCTTTCTCAATTCTAGCTGCCCAAAACTTGATAATACATTATTGGCATGTGTTCTATAATACATTCACCACAGAGAAAGCAAACATTATTTAACAACAAGTCTATTTATATATTTTGATCCTTGTTGTAAAAGGGACTGACACCTGTGTGATTCTTTGTGTGACTTTCAGGAGACTGTATTCATGGGCAATGGTGAACAGTACATATGGAAGCCCCCTGAAGAAGGTGATATCTCCATGCTCCAGTCAAGACCAAGTGCGCCACCAAGCGTCCCACATGGAGACAACAATCAAGGACAGCTGACCGCTGTGGAGGTCAGTGCTGATTCTGGAAAGGGAATGTGGAAATGTGCTGTAATAGAAACATGGGTGACAGCAGATACGAGATGAGGTTGAATAGAGTCAAATGTTTGTCAAAATATTATCAGTCATTCCTGAGGCCAGCTCAAGTAAAATCATGTTCTAAAAGTTAAATAACAATGTGCCCCAACTGGTCAGGGAATACTAAGAAAGGTCATGTGAGTTACTGACTTTTCCATGAACAATTTGGTGGCGGAGAAAGAGCAGTATCTCAAAAGAGAAGTGTTTATTGAAAACAATATCAGACAAGATCCAGAATTACACAAACTAATATTAACAAGTACTATTTACAAATGGAGGGAGGCTCAGCAGGTTATATCCAACTTCCAACTCTAGGTAAATAACACTGGCATCTAATATACTCAGATATGGACATAAATTGTAATTAAGGTAATAAATACTGCTTTTACAAAATAGCTTATCTTCCACAGTTGAGCCTCCAAACTGATGCTAAAAAAAAGGAACAATAAAGCATCTAAATAATCAAGAGTGGAAAACTCTGCTGAAGAGATTTAAAAAGAATTTGGAATATTTGCAAATATTATGAAAATACAGCATTCCCCGAGTGTGGTATGAGTCCCTTCAGTGTCAAAAACCTGATATCTATCGACTTTTCAGGGAGGAATTCAGTGATGAAGATACAGTAGGTTAGAAAGCTGTAGATTGCTCTGTTTTCTCTTTAGTTTGGACCTCCCCGTTGTAAGAATGGCAAGTGGTCATCTTCTGGAAATTCATGCCTCATAAATTGTAGAGCCATCTGGCCTTCACTCATTTCGGGTCTGCTTAACTGATTAAATAAATACTTGAGCCAGTCCCAGCAGTCAATGGCTGTCTAAAAAGAGGGATAAAAAAATATCCAGCCTGTTCATTCATAGTAAACAGCACCTAATAGTAACATACTGTAGCTGTCAGGAGCAAGCGTCTAGCCAGGGAACACTTCTGCTTTTCTCTCTCTGCTGTTCCAATCCCAAAGCAGCAACAGCAATGTGACATTTACTACATTTCAATCAAATGCAGTATAATGCTCTCAATGCTCAGATTGGTTTACAATATTTGAATCATTACTGTAAGGGAAACTATTGAGAAATTACCCTAGCTAAGGCGTTCTACCATTAGAATAAACAGAAAGTGAAATGCTAAGGAAGGATATTGAGGTAATCAAATGTTTCCAAGAATTTTGGAAGTACCTCCCAGACTCCAATTTAGGAGCCATTCCCTTTCCTGAGGAATAGAGCGATCCATATACAGAACACAATAAGGAGGCTAATAATAATAATGAGAATGCATAATGTGTATTGAATGCACTACTAATGCTTAAAAGTGCAAGTTGTCTGGTCCCCACTCACAGCGAAAATGTTAATGGTTTAATGTGGTTAAGAAGTACAGTGATTTTACTGGTTTTGAATCACTATAAATCCTTGTTTAGATTTTCTGTTTTTAAAGATGAAAGCCTTTTATAGCACAGAATGAACTGTGCTTGAAAATAAAGCATTTATTTGAGTAAAATATTAATTTGTTAGGTAACGTAAAATATTAATATATTATGTTGAACATTGCTACACATGTTGATCTGCTTAAATTCTGGCAAATCGTTTTGAAACTCAATAATTCATAAAAAATCATATGTAGGGATTTTATTCTGCTTTTAATATATGTAAAATCCTACTTGAATGCTTAGATTATGTTTAAAACAGAGGAGTTTATATTTATTTTCTGCTGAATATTCAATTTTATTGTGGTAGTTTTTAATATCACACAAGAAGCACAACCTTTTTAATTTCCTAAAGATTTTTTTTTATCTGGATACCATCCAAACAAAATGAGTATTGGAGCATGACTCCTAGTATAAATGCTGGTCTTTCTCCACCATAGCTTGAGTCTGTTTCATTTTAAATTCATGCCCTTCTTCCTTGCACAAATGCACAATTATAATTCTAGCAGACAGCTCTTAATGTCTGTAATTACCTGCATGTTACACCTGCAGTTAATATGTGCAGTGCCCTCTAATTAGTTGCCATGCCTTTATTTAGGATCTTAAAATTCTGTTTGAAGTAAACACAGTGGCACTTTCATCAAATGGACATACATTTAATTTTTCACAGAAGAAGGAATCAATTCTGAAAGAGCACCATGTGAATTTTGCATTATTTGTATTTAATGGTGAACAGGTGAACAGTATTTAGTTTCTATGAAATATTAAATCACCAGGAGCTGCAATATATTGATTTTTATATCAACAGTATACTGACTCAGAGCAGCCGCACAGAGACATGCCATCATCATGTTTAAACATTGTCCACAGTTACACTGCAATCCATCCCATTACTTAATTGAAAAGAATAATGTTTTCAACAACAAACTGTATGGAATGCCACATAACCTGTTAAAAGAATTTTATCTCAGAGGTTTCATATTTTTTATCTCACAATCAGATCATTTTGGAGCAGAGCACATGACCTTTTTTGTTAGCTCATTCTAGACTGCTCAATATGTCAGGTTGAAAACCAATTTTGTCACCTTTTAAGCACAAGATCTACTTTTGAAAGTGTGAAAATAAGAGACAGACATTTCTTCCTGTGTGTTACTTAAGTAAAAAATATAGGGCACTTTTTATGTACTCAAGGTGGTAAGCTATGTATCACCTGTAACGTTTTCTTTACCTTTAGTAATTGCCTTGGACTCAGATATTAGTTGATAAACAACTCATATAATTGTATCAAATTATATGATATCATAAATCTGGAAAACTGTAAGAAACACATGACCAATTTTAACATTATATTTATATATGGCTAGAACAATACAGGTCTTTTGTAACAAACGATAAACCCAACGCATTTGGAACCTGGTCTCGTCAATGCTTTTTTTTTGTGCTGTTTTAAGAAATTAGGAAGTGATTGATTTTACCTAGAAAAACAGCAGAGTAGGATTTGCCTAGAAATATTTCCATGCCCTCTTAAAATCCCTGTGTAACCACGGAAGGAAAACTTTTGGGGGAGACAGTCATTCTCCAGCTAGAACACACTGGACAGTAAAGACAGCACTTAAGTTTGTTTTTATGTTCCTGTGGAAAGTCAGTCCACCAAAAATATGTAGCATCTTTCGTGTTTACCATTTGTTCAGCACTATGCCAGCCACTACGCTGTACTAACAAAGACTAAAATGAAAGCACTGCCCGTTAGTCTTAATGGCAATGACAATGAAATGCAATGATACTCGTATTGATAAGCACCCCTCAGTAAAGTGTCTTTTTTTAAATTTCCAGTTATTATGATTTATTATTTTTGGAAACATGCACCATGAGACAGAGGCTCTCAACCAACTCTTAAGTTTATAGACATATGGCAAAATCTCAGGAATCTCTTTTGAGTGACCATCAATAGATAACTGGCTATCTGGGCACATGTGCTCTTCTGCTTTGAGAATCAATGTTCTCAGCTATGGGGAGTGAATAATAATAATGAATAGTGAATAGTTATAGGACTATAGCTGGCCAGACCATAGGGTCTAACTTGTACTCAGATTGAGCCTCCTGTATTTTGCACATCCATGTGTACCTCCACAATGAAGTATTTTTTGCATTATACTGCATATCATAAAAATGCCAGAGATATAAAAAGAGATAGTTCAGGTGGGGAGCCGCGTCAGCATGCGAAGGCTGCAAAGGAACAAGTAATAGGTTTACTTGTAATTCCATGCTGAAAAGAGAAGAAAGAAAACACAGCGTTTCGGCTGTGGAGCCTTCTTCAGGTGTGAGAAAGACAGAGCAGTAAGCAAAGGTAATGTAGCAGGAGAACAAAAGCTGGGAGAGAGGAGGAGCGAGGGGCGGGAGCAGGGGACAGACAGAGTGGCCAATCAGGAGGTGTGAAGTCAGGACAGGTGAAGAGAGGTGTGAAATAAAACCTTCAGTGAATAGAGAGAATTTAGAAGAAAAGTAGTCTGTCGTTAAGAGAAGGGGGAAGGTGTGATCCTAGCTGCAGGATAATTTTGGTTTCTGTAGTCTTTCTGATGTATGAGTTCGGAAAACCGTCTTTGAGGACACAGACGGAGAGATTGAGTGGTCACCACCATTAGAGGTGAAATGAGAAACAATGGGCTTGGAGAGATCTTTAATCTTCACAGCCCTAACATGTTCTTTGGAAAAAAAAGAGATACAGTATAAGAAAATGTAACTGGCAAGTCCAAAAGTCTGGATTATAACAAAAATACTACTAATGGTTAAATTCATATTGAATATTTGGTTATTTGTTTTTGAAAACTCGTTTCCAAACAACATGTAATGGTTAGGTCATAGTTGAAATCACTGTGCACATCCAGAGTGTAACCACCATTGAAAGTTACTTTTAAACTCCCTTCTGCAAGGGCTCAGGGTAGCATTCTGTGATGAATAAAGTCTGGATAATAATGACTCATTTAATTCAAAGCCTGGAAACAGTATTACCTATTGATGGATTTGTGGGGTATCTTAATAGGAATGCCTGCTGTGCATGAAAAGCTGAATTTCTTTGACTTGAACTAGACTTCCCCTGGCAGAAGTGCCAATCGTCTTTTGCTGAGGACACAGCCAGTCTGATCCTGGGGAGTAAACTTGGAATTTAAACTTTTCTGTTTGTTCTGCAGAGATAGGATATCAAGCCAGATATAAAAATGCAGCTAAATCTGCTGACTATGGTGGCTATTTTCAACTGCAATGCTCACATGAAATTGCAACATTCTTGCTAATAAGTGATATCCAAAAGAATGATGTTTTAATTATTTTCCACTCCATAAGACAGGGAGGAGAACTGGGAAGTTTTAGAGTTTTAAACCGGTCAGGACATTTCTGTACTTCTGGTTTTGTTGGGATTTTAAAAGATGCTGATAATGCAGTGAAATCCTATAAATGAAGTGACGTATATTGGCAAAATAAAGTTGAGAAAAAGTGAAATTATTTTGAAATGTAAAAAAATCCCTTAAACGTTCCAGGGAGGGGTCTTATTTTGTTCGACCAAATGTCAAAGGAAAACCAATGGACTGAAATATCTGTGGTTTCCTTGGGTGGATAACCCCATTGGCAAATAAAATTATATTCTGAAATGCTGGTTTTCAGTCTAGAGAAAACAAACAAAATAGTCTCAAAACGGACAGCAATTTTTAACTGATTAAATATATGACTATCACAGCTCTGGGTTTAAGGGGGTAATTATTTGCTAGCTTGTCATCAGTTAATAACTGAATTATGCTGTCCATTAAGGTATTTTATTTTACTAGGAGCTTAAGTTGTATCTGGGTTAAAATCTCATTTGAAAGTGAGGCCTAGTCAACAGCCTCATGAAAAATAGTGAATTAAAGGAGAACAAATGAACAGAAGATCTGTTTGAAATGTACTGTACATGGTTACCAGAAAAATAATACTTTAACTCAGTACCCAGCTGTCAGGCCTGAACTGGTGAACAGAAGCCCACCTTAACACCACACTGAAAAGGGCACACCAGTATGGGAAAATAGCCCACTGAATTAACAGCATGAAAAAAGAAAAGCACCTCCCCATAGACATAAGGGTAAGGGCTACATTATTAATGGAAGCGCTTAATTAACAGTATAATGAGTATATTAAATTACATTGTGGAGGGCTATATTCCAATGGGACTTGTTTCAGTGGTTTATATTCTATATTCCTACACTCTCCTGAGTACTTTATCTTGCATGGTACTTCAACATTTTCCTGTTGAACTTTTGATGTACAGTATTCTACAGTACAGTACAGTTGCATAGATGCATTATTTTATTAAAACAAAATACAGCCACTCATAAAAAGGTCTAAAGTGACCTGACCTTTTTCTTCTGGCTTGCTTTGAGATATAGTAAATATTGAAAAGCAGAAATAAGATGCTGGGAGGTTTTCATTTAGCTATTAACCCTTAAGGTTTGGCTCAAGTATATTTTGTGTTTTCAAAGCCCTTTTCGGCAGAAGACAAGTTCAGTATTTTTTCAGAGCTTTTAATCAGTCGGTTCTTGCATTAATATTTGTACTCCAATAGCCTCTCATTTATTACTAAATATAATAAAATGCTTTCTACATTGGAAAAGACTACTGACTGTCTAATGCTTCCTACAGTCATTGTGTGCTTGTATGCTTTATGTGAGCATTCTGACTATTGAATTTTTTTAGGGATGCTGGTTATTTTCCAGTTTACAGTAAAACTTTTATAGACGGAGACCGTTGACAAATGGGCAAGGAATCAAATATAAAAAAACAAAACAAATTTCACAACAGCTGCACTGGAGTTTCGAAACACATCATCTTGTGATTTCCTCCTTTGCAAAGCCACTGGAGCAAAAAATAAATCTTGCATTTTTTTAAAGCCTAATTAAAACTATATTGCAGATAGGATTTAAATTCCTAAAAACAGAAGCCATTTTAATTGAATAGAACAGGAGGACTCTCCAGATAAAAACCAAGCATTCGTAACGCCCAACCCGAGACAAAAAGTGCTTTGCTTGCATTTGCCTTCCCCCCTACCAGTTTTCAGGTTTACACTGCAACATATTTTACTTACACAAACAGTTTTGTAAATATTAGAAACATTATTTATAAATAATTAAATCAGCAAAAAGTCTTCCCTAGCCTCAATGCTCTACATCTAAACCAGGGATGTGTTCAAGTCAGCAGACATCAGTTCAGTGCCACCATTCCTAGGTATCGGTCTGGGGAGGAGCCACTGGTATGCTCGTGCATTGTTAAAGCACAGGAAATTATGCTTTCCATAAAGACCATCATTGAGAACTGGTATTTCAGTTAGCATTTAAACCTGTGTTAAAATGGATCTAAAACTCAATAGTTAAAAATAGTATTGCACTATATATTGTTCCCAACAGTAAATGCCTAAATAATGTTTAATCATAGTTTAGCAACTCAGGTGTACTCTGAAGTGCACAACCACAAAAAAGATCAACCTTACCAACATCTTTTTATAGAATCCTGCACTTTTCAGTGAGTATTAATCCTTTTCTACCCAGCTGTGCCCAACTGTGTTAAGCCATGTGTACATCTGCGATATTACAGTGCCTATTATCCTGTTGGATTGCAACACTTATGGTACAAAGGCTGTTCAGCAGTTAACAAAATGAAATGCTGAACATTTTGCTGCAGGAACGCCACCGTTGAAAATCAAAGAAAGGAATGGATGTACAACAAAACAGATTCATTCTCTTAGGGCTGAATCAATAAACAGGGTTTTACCGATAGCACTTAGTGGTTAGCCTTTGGATTACTACCTATTTGATACCAATCAATTGTAACAGAGTGAGTGTGCTGCCAGGTTAATAGTTTTCCCACTAGCAACTGAAAGAGTTTTAAAATGATTTTTTAATCCATTTCAAATATTAACAGTGCTCGAAGAACAAAAGTGGGTTTTATGTCTGAATTGAAGGTACTGTATGGTACATGCTGCGTGCCTGAAGGGCAGACAACCAGAACCAGTGAATGTTCTTTCATAATCTTTGCTGCATAAACAATCTTAATAAATTGAACTTAACTTTAAAATTAAATGGCAATCAGATACAGAACACCTCAAGTGAAATCCAACAGTTTCCCAGTCTAGGTAAATTTTAACAGGCTTATCTGGAGATTACATAACACCGGCCACAATAACCAGAGGAGAGATTCAGATAAGCATGTTTGCAGTTGAGCTTGGTGCAATGGAATAACAGTCGGGTGGAGCTTTGTGAAGCTGAATGAAGTGGGTCGGTTTTTGCACTTAATGTACATACAACCAGGGCTCATTGCAGCTCCTGGCTCCAGGGGGTTGAGAGTTGGTGGGGGGAGGAGGCAGGTTTGGCAGAGGTACAGCGCAAAAAAAGAAATTGGGAATCCAAACTCTCCAAGCTACTATGGAAAAATCAGCCACTTGGAAGGGAGGGCTTTCCGTAATCCATCTTGTCCCACTGCACTAATGTAAAAATGTAAAGAGGTGTTAGGAACAACTGTTTGATAAAGAGAGCCTGGATTGATTTTTTTAATCCTACCTGGCACTCCCTCTTCACCTTATTTGTGCCTCAATGGGCCAGAATGATTTTTTGTTTCCACTTAATCTGTGATGCATCTGTAAGAGCTCCCTGGAAGGTTGAATTTTTCACAAGGGAGAGCTGATGTTGCATTGTGCTATATGCTCTGAAGCATAATAACAACAGATATTTTTTTTTATCAAATATACTTACACCCACTGTCCAATCCATTAAGTTTGATTTTCTGCTCTAGTGCTTTGATGCATAAGTTTTCTCTTCAGATAAATGGCTCCTGGCAGCAGAAAATAAAGTGGTTGCTGATGATTTGAAGATATTATACTGGATTTTCCCTTAGCCTAGAGCAGTTTTTGAAGGTATGAGCTGTAGTCCAGTATAAAGCAAAAGCAGAGGCTCTGGAAATTAGTGCAGTATCCATAAAGGATTAAGGAAAAGACAGCTATTGGGATTTTTGCTTAATTTTGCCAAGGTTTTCTCTATCTGTCATCAGTCTGAGGTGTATTACATAACTAATTTTTAAGGAAGAAAAGTGATGACATCCATCCTGAGTATGTGCAATCACCAGTGTGAAAATATGGCAGAGCTCTGTACCATGCTGAATGAACTGAAAAATTGAATGACTACACTGCATTAACAGTTGGCATCTGAGGCTTATGATGCCTCCAGAGAATGTAAATTGACTAAACCACAAAGAGCATTCTGATTCATTTGTGTTTCTTTGGAAAATAAAGATCTATTTGATGTTAAGTAATGCTTTTTCCTTTCCTGGTAAAATAGCTCACCATGGTTTGGATCGGGGTGGTCTAACTCTGTTCCTGAAGAGCCAGTGTGTTTGCAAATTCTCTTTTAAAGCTAGACGTGCATAAATTTGTCCAGTGAAACCAATAACGAGCTGATTTAGATCATTAAGAGGTGAGCTGAAATGAAATGAAACTCCACAGACACATCAGACCTCCAGAAGTTAGACCACCCTGGTTTAGAGTACCGGAGAACCCTTAAGACAACATTTCTATTTACAACACTTCATCTGACCATACAGTATGACATAGAAAACTTGATTGAGATGAAGTTTGGCAAATCCACACAGCCTCTTTCTGTAATGTTGTAGCCTGATGATACTAGACCATCATGGAGATCTGTAACAGTTAGCCTTGGATTTGTGGTGGTTTTACAAACCATTTTTCTCTCAGCATATGGTGACAGTATTTTCATGTGTTCTCTTCCTAGCAAGATACCAACTGTTCCTGTGCCTTGAAATGTCACAATAGATGGACACAATAGTGGAAACTGGTAGATTCAGCTTTCAATGAAATTTCAGTAGCCATTAATTACCGTGTGAAGATCAATGACTCTTTGCCTGCAATTTTTAGAGCGTTCTCTGGCTTTGAGAACCCATGACCAATCAATGTTACTGATGGATTTTCCTCCTACTGTGATACTTCCTTTTATACCCCCATGGAAACAGAGATCCAATGAAGGCTTCTGGAACGTTCTGGGAGCTTCATCTGAATGTCCAGACAGCACAGTGTTTTCAGAGGATTATTTTGGTGCAGTGTGCAGATATTTGGGGGTGTGAAAAAACTGCAAATTGTAATTTAGAAGAAAAAAATTGTTCTTTGAAAAAACATGATGCTGCTGTTTTCTTAGTAGAATTAGAAATTTAGGCTAATTTCGCATCATCCAAGCAAGACAAAAATTGCATACTTTTTGGTCGGATCATGTTTTTTTGCTTACGTTTAACAAGGATATGAATAAATATGGAGGCACTGAATGTCTTATTTTGGAGATTTTCAATTTATGTATTCGTCTGTAGTGCAATGCTGGAATGAATGCAGATCCCCATGAATGCAACGCCAGTGCTGATAGAAAGATGCTTGTGTCTTTGTTTCAGATTTCAGAGATGTATTCAAAGGTGTGCAAACCCACAAAGAAGAGGAAGCCTCCTGCGTCACCTCCATCCACTAAAGAGAACGCTGGGCACAGGACTGAGCACTGTTCAGGTAGCAATGCGGAGGGGGAGGCGGGCACAGGGTATGATGTCACAAAGACACAGGTCTGGGCAGGAAGTGCCCAGGCAGTGATGCCCAGTGAAGACCCCTGCTACGAGTCCATTAGTGAGAAGACCTGGGTGGGGGGCGGGGATGCTGACCCAGCCTACGAAACTATTGACGCCAACTGGAAAAGGGACAAAGCCCTGGCACCCCAGCAAGGCAAAAAGAAGAAGGCAATCTCAAAGACCCTCCCCAGGGAGAACTTATACGAAAGCATCAGCGATCTGAAGCAAGGGGCCACCACCAGCACAACCACCATATTCACATTTAATGATGGTGTCGAAATGTATGTCACGGGACTATAGTGCCCACTCTTGAATCATCCTGAAATGCCACTTTACATATTCTTTTCATCCATTCCGATTTTTTAACCATGCTCGAAAGGACGCTGGCCGGACATGGCACAACAATGTAAATTCCTTGCCTGCCTTTGAGGGTTGCTAGAGTGGTATACTTCACAAGCTGTTTTGTGTACAGAAAGCTGAATGCATTTTTATTTAAACTTACATTGCTACTGACAGTACAAGGTACTGAAGCTAGTAAAGGAACCAGTCCAGATTTAGCACTCAAACCAAGTAAGAATTATCGCCAATGCTTTACTGATTGGGGCTAAAAAATACTATCCTTATTCCTTCATGAACAGCACACAATATGATGAAACAATGTACAGCAAACTGAGATTTATACTGTATAAAACTTCTAGGCCTACAGTTACTAAGCTGCATGCGCAGAAAGTTCTTGTCAGCTCTCAGATCCTTAAAGGATCTTCCATCATTTCACATTACTTAGTCTCTCCACTTTTGGCTGAAAGTCTCATTATTAACCATTCCAAATAGCCACCTGTAATGTAATTTGCAAAGATGTTTGAAGTGGATTATACCTGTTGTTTTTTGGGGTTGTATAGTGTTTGTGAAGAAGTTATGGAGCTATGTTGTTTAGCCTCATTCAAGTAAAAAGTTCCCAAATTGTTCTAGTACTCTCACATTGCATTTCTATTTCTCTCCACTTTCTTGGAGTTAGAATGGGTTGTTTAAAGAAAAGACATTCAGAAATAATTCCCCTTTTTGATTAATTGATTGTCCTTGTATTGATTTTCAGTAGCTTAAACACATTCTTTAAGTGTATATGATATATACTTTATGTATATTTTCTAGAACAACTATATAGACTATTTGACTTTTTTAATTTGTAAAGAGCTTTGAAGACAAAGTTCTGTACAAAGTGGCTCCTAATATGATATAGTATAGTCTTGAGTATTATAGTACTGTATATATTTTGCTATTATTTGAAATTTAGTATTGTTTTTTCATGTTTACTTTTTGCTTTTATTTTGTCCTTAACCTTGTGGGTTAATTATCTTTAAATGGCCTTTACATAAACTAACAACAGGTTTAGAATTAGTCACCGATTTCAAATATGAATATTGTTTGAGAATAGGACTTGTTTACAATCTGAAATCATAATGTCATTCACTCCAGCTCCTAACTTCAGTACATATCTAACTCAAAGGAACCATATACCTGTCTTTACTCATGTGCCCCGCCAGACCAGCCCGTTATGTTTTGCACTGGGAATCTGAAAACAGAGAAACATTAAGTGCCAACCAGGGGACACAGAGCCATTGATTGTGTGCCACCCCAAACCTGTCAGCTGTGTCTCTGCCTGATGTCTACTCTACAGGTTGCATAACTCAATCAATGAGCCTTTAAATACAGAGCCACTTTGGAATGTTCTCCATATTTTCACTTGTAAAACCAAAACCTTTTGCAAGCTTCAGTTTTTCTAAACCAGAAAGTAGCCAGTTAATTATTTGTTTTTAGTTGCTCCACCGAAGGTACTTAACATGTCATCCTTATGTTTTCCCATGTTTTTAAATGTGTTTGTATTTAAATGTATGGATAAGCTTTGAGACTGTACTCCGACTGTGTGACGTGTGCAGTGGATTATCTACCTGAAAGTCTGCTTCCACGTGATTATTCCTTTGCCAAGACTCCGTTCCAGCGACCTCTGCCACAGTCTCTGGTTAGACTGTTGGTGGAGGGAGGATTCCAAAGAAAACAAAGTAATGAGCACAAAATTACAAGCGAGAGAGATTTTGGAAGCTCGCCTTTTTATCTGGTCCGTCTTCAAAAAGGCCTCTTTGTAAACAAACACTTTCCCATGCAGCTCAAGAAATGTGATTTTTAAAAATATTAAGAGTTTTATGAAATCTGAAATGGAAAAATTAAGAGGAAAAAAAAGCTCAGGGAAAGAAATACAATGCTGGATTAGGAATAATTCGTACTGTATATGGGACAATAAGAAGAAACATTTTCTGAGAAAGCAAAATGCTGTGTTGAAACCGTGTCACTTTATTCAAGGTTACAAATGCACTGTATATTTTCTATATGCACTGTTTTTATAAACTAGAGATTATTCTAAAAACAATGTAACAGAAAAGCTAAATCACTGCCATGCTTAAATGTATTATTTTGTTAAATGCTGTTATTGCAATTTGCTTGCTTGAAGGTGCATGCACTTAATCTGCTATGGTACCTGAGAATGTTTACACAGTTACACAGCAATTTTATTTCAGGATTAGCTCTTGATATATGGATTATGACAATGCCACTTTGTCCTGATATGCCTAGATACTGCATGATAACAATAAAAGCTTAACTGATAGCACTGATTGCTGAAAGCCTCTATTTGTTCAATTAGAACCCACAACTCAGAGAAGACAAAACCAATGCAGTGCTTGCTGAACCAGTACCTTGACTGAAACTCAGTCCAGAAAAGAATGTGTGGTAAGAGTCTGGGGAAGCAAGTTCTGTCTACATGAACACCTGATTCTTCTCACCTCTAGACACATCCTGTGACGCACAAGGATTAAGTGGTAATTATTTATATATATATACATGTACCATTAAGAATACACAGATGACTAAGGCATTTTAAAATCCTGAGTCAAGAGAACTGCACATCTCACATCAAGTCCTTACAGCTTTATAATTACTTTTTAAGCCAATAGGCTCGAGGAAGATCGAGAGGACTTTAGGGATCACAAGAACAAGTGCATAGTTATAAAGAATATATATGCTGTGTGACATGCACTAAACCACCCTGCTAGGATTAGATTCCCACTCAAAGCCATACAATTCCTCCTTAGACAGTGGTGACTTCTGCTATAACAAAAGGACAGGCCACCTGCTGTTGTATTTCAGCATCATCCAGTTTTGATGGGGGATGAAATCACCTTTTAACTGGTTAATCTAGCCCTGTTACATACTTACTGAGAAGTATTAAAAAACAAAATAAATCGAATGTCTCCAGTACACATTTGTTGTGTTTTTAATGCCTCTCAGTATACATATACCTATGTACATATGTATAATACAATGCATATTATATTAGGGAGCACATTCTTGATGTCTTTTAGCAATCAAAGTTTAATTTAGCTTTATTGTTCTGATTGTGTTTAATGTTTCAAATGGTTATCTGGTGACAAATTACAGCTGTGTATCATTATGGACAATTTGTACCCAAGCATAAAACATTTTAGGTGTTCAGTTTTAACCTCAAATAGAAATGACAGGCCTGTATACTTCAGAGAAATGTGTAAAAACTGCTGAACATAGTGTGGCAGCTGGTGTTACTGTTAGCTCAGTCATACCACAAGGTGTACAATATGAAAAAGTCTGAAAAGCTGTGTAAGTAAGTGCTAATGTGTACGAAACTGTAATTTTTTTATGGAAAAGTATAATTCTTTTAAAGTAATGTTAATTCAAGTTTATACTTTTGTAATAAAGTAGCACCTTAAAATATGAATACAGATTATTTTCTTTACTTGCATATAAGAAGGAGACATCTCTGGAATTTATGAGTGGTACTATAAATTACTGTATTTAATCCATGGACATTATTTCATTTAATTACCTAGGTAAGTCTAAAGTACTGTTGCACTCTGAGGCATATTCACCCACAAAATGCTGTACATTAGTATGAATTATGCAGGACAAGACATCATGCAATTCAAATCTTAGGATTAAATAAAGTTTATATGGTTACATGTCTATGAAGGAAATGTATTTATAAATGTGTCTTCATTTTCATGTAGTACTAATGCTTAAAACCAATATATATTAAGAGTAAAACCTTGAAACTACACTTATTTGGCAACATCAATCATTATCATTAGAACTTCTTATCATTACATATTCTGCCACTGAGCTGAGCACCAATGCATTAGACAAACTTTAACTCATTTTTTGCTCCATTACAGTTTAAACATGAGGAACAAAATGTGTTCTACTGACATCCACAAGCACACAGCCTTAAAAACATGCTTTGAAACTCAGTCTTACTTTGAAAAGGGTGACATGGCATCACCACTGCATGCCTACTTGAAACAATAACATTATTGTAAAAGCCTGTTTACCATATATCTTTACAGGTCTAAATTGCTTAATCACAATAAATAACCTAAAATCACATTGTAGTATTGCATATCACAAAGAGACAGTAGCCAATGATAAGGTTGCGACAAAGGCAGATGCTTTACAGGAGCGATGGTTTGTTCGGTGCCAGTGTCTTTTTCTTACAATAATACCAAATCTCTATACCTATACCAAACCTGTATATGATGTTTACAACAATTGAGTAAATAACACTTAATAATATGACTAAAGAGAGCTCAGCAAAGCCCTTTTAAAAGCTCTGCAACTTACCTGATGTCTAATGCTTTTACATTCTGTTCTTTCAATGGATAAAACCTCTATTTATGAGTTATGGACATTCATATCTCCAGTCCTTCAGATGATACATTAAACTGAGGTCCTGATTGCTTGGTGATTAAAGATCCCATGGCACTGTTAGTAAGAGTAAGGCTACCTTTGTGTCTTGGCTAAATTCCACCTTGGGCTTGCACAATCACAATAATTTCTCACTCCTCCACCTGATCTGCTGTGTAGTGGAGCTGCTGGTGCATAATGGCTGCCATGTGTCTCCCAGGTCAGGCTGCACTTCAGCAATGAATGAAGTGGGACCCCTCCTATGCCTAAAGCACTTTTGAGATCCTTAGGGATGAAAAGTGCTATATAAACAAAATATATAATCAGATTATTATACTGAATGCTATGCACCCCAAATTAAGGTGCAAAACCATTAATTATGTTGTCAGTATTAGACGATAAGTTAACATCAAGCAAACAGTTATAATTCAATCATATCTCCTTGTCTAAATGACTGTGTGGTACAATTATAGCACACTTTAAAGCACACTTCACATTCTAAATGTTAATATTGTTCTATAAGTAGTTAAAACTTATGCACCTCACAACTGGAATCGCAACTTGAACACATAGAAATGTGAAAACTACAGAATCAAACTGACAAAAAACAGAGCCTTCCAGACATTAGTTTCTAATGAATGTGGCTACCGATGTTCTCTAGTGGTAACAAAAAACTACACAAGTTAAACAGCAACAAACAATGGAGATTTCAACTTATCTCTCTGAAAAAATGAAAAACTTTTCTTTTGGAAATATTAGTGTGGCTTTATTGCTTCAATGAAAGGATGCTATTAAAGTAAACAACCACACAGCTGTATTATCTTACATTTTTGTTAACAAAGATATGAAACAAAACTGTACAAAAATCTATCGTTAATTCCAATGAATGATGGAGAAGTAAGATCTCGCATGTGAGATATGTGATAACGGGAAAAGGGTTGTCTGGATAATTAAGGTTTTGGCTCCGTGGTGTCGTAGGGTAAGGCCGAACTAGCAACCGATAGCTCTGCTCGAAGGACATGCCTAAGATACACTTGTGTTTCCTGTGACCGCCATTTGTGAATTTGTGTTCATATTTCAAAGTTTCAACTGTCCTTGGAACAATAAAAATAGGTTACAAACACAACACATATCTTGGAAAATGTACGCACTGTGTAGAGAATCAAAAGCAAAGAGAAACAACGGTTTCTAGGCTGAAAAAAAGAGACTCAGCAAGCTAATTTAAGTACTTGGACAATGAGTTGTTCCTGGGCGTTCTGAGTACTTTTGACATACCATATGCTTCTAATTTAATTCTGCTGGAACTTAATTACTTAAATAATGAATTTTGAAACATGAATTACTGAACTGACTCCAGCTTGTTGGAGGCCTCTTTAAAGAACTAAAAACATGGAGGATTTTAAAGCTCAGTAGGTGAACAAAGTTGGCTTTTCAATATTACAGATCATTACTGTTTTTTTTTCTTTGTTGTAAGATGTTTCGATTCCATCCAGCTACACATTGTGATTTCTCCTGTCATGCCTTGCATCTAATTAAACCTTTAAGCAAAAGGTTTAGCCTATTTTTATAGAAATGTGCAACTTAGTCACTCTATATTTAATGCAGCACAAAAACAGAGGCAGAAAATCTGAGGGGATTTTTCCCCATACAATAATAATGTGTAACAGAATCAAAGAAACATTGTCATCAGTACATGTCATCAATTTTTCCCATTCGCTAAAGCATAGGACTAGATGCTCTCCCTTAGGAGAGGGGAATAAGGGACTGTTATTAAGTCATACTTAATTTAAATAAATGAAGGTCAATGATATTTCCCGATATATTTTATATAGCACCTTTAAAAACATCTTCCTAAAGCACTTTACAGGAAAAGTTAAAAAGTTAAAACAATGAAAACAGTAACGAAGACAAGAGATAATATCAACACAAAGAAACAGAAGGGTTTAGAGTGCAGTAAAAGATGCAAAGGGACAGAGTTACAACTATTTATCTGTACAGCTGTATACCTATTGACCTGTAATGATTTTAAGGGCTCATCTGGAAATAAACTGGGAACTGGGATTTGTTCCAGTAGAGTGAAAAGCACTGGATTCGTCATACTTCTGTTTTCCTGAATACAGACAAGATGATTCTTGGGAAGGCAATTTCTTCAGACAATGAGCAGCGAAACAAAAGCATACTATTAAAACTTTAAAAGCTACAGCCAAGAAGCAAATCCTTTCTAAAAGTTCAGTATAGGTTACAGAGAAACCTATTGTGTTGACTTTATGTAACCTGTTAATAACAACTCTATCATATATTATATCGAGATTATGTTAAATCCATATTTATCATTGAACGGTATTTTAAAAGGATATAAGGTGCCTGAAAATAGGTACAGATATTTTTTCCACAATAGTACTTTATTAACAATTAATTCAAAGGCATCTTAATATTAGTTTCACTACAGCTGCAAAATTCAAGACTAGGCAAACTAGGAAATGACATTTAGAGTATGCAGATAAGACCAAACACACTGTACTTTCCCACCTTACAGAAAAAAATCCCTACACTGACTGTCTAAAATATTTTTATTATTGAAAATAGAAGACTATGAGGTGCTCGATTCGACTCCAAATAGTCAAGGGGAAATGACCAAGTCAAATTGCTTCAGAACCTGATACAGTACCTTGACTTTTTCAAAGGCAACGATAAAACTGTCGGATTGCTTAGCTACTAGCATCCAAACAAGCTACAGGCCAAACAGCATCCTCTTATTCTTGGCCTCTCACGTTTTTAATTTCTTAGATAAAGTAAAAAAATATATATTTTCAGAAGTGTAATTTAAACTGAGAAAATAACAAAGTTAAAAAAAAATACTAGTGGTTTTCTGAAATGTCTCTTCCAAGTCTCAAAAGGTCACTTAGACAGAATTCTTACAGGTAGTATAGAGAGTTTGTATAATTGCCGGGCTGTCAGCCAGAAGATACTGGACACACAGCAAATCAATGGTCCTGCAATGAGGGCTAACAAGCACCCGCTACTGTGGTAAGATTATTAACTGCCACCGTCTCTTCATGACATGCAGTTATGCTGTAACTCATGGTGATAGGTATTCCAAACAATACAGCAGTATAACTAAAGTATATGTACCTGTAGAAAATAGATACAGCATACACATTTATGAAGAAAAAGCAAAAAGGTATACCCTTAATATGCCTTTTCTAGACATAGACTGTTGTTTAGTCTCGTCTGTTACTTAACACGCAATAAAACCTGTACATTAGTATGGATGTTGTATACAATAAAAATGATATTTTCATTGTACGGAAATAAAATAAGACAAACGGCATTTCCATAGCTGGACCTATGGTCTCTGGGTAGCATTTAGAAATTAACACCCCCCCATTTGGAAAGTCGCGCGAAAAAACTGAGTTAATTATTTGTACAGTGTTGTGTGAATGTTGAGAAAAACCGCCGGAAAGGAATGAAATTTCGGAGTTTTTTTCCCCCAGAATTTGACCAGTCCAGAATTCACGGGGTCGCCATTACTACTGGCTTCCAGACATCTAGGGAATTCCCAGGCGACAGGCAGTGAGAGTCGGTGCCACCTTTGCTCTGGGTCAGGGCCTGCGGGTTGCCAGACGAAAAGCTGCGACAGTCCCGTGAATCCCGGATCTGCACAGAGGTTTGTATCCCGAAAAGACTAGTTGACTGGCGATTCCAGATTGGAAACCTCTGCAGAGAGCAATAATTGGCGAATTTTATTTTTTTAATAAGAAACTTTTTTTTGGGGGGGGTTGTTGTAAAAGTATAAAAACTTTCTACATAATACACCATCACCAGACTCCCAGGAATGTGCTCCAACATGCTCCATTTTCAACCCCAACATGATAGTGGAGAACCATCAGAAAGAAATGCATTGCAAGGCGCAGTGCTACATACTCGTGTGAGCTTTAAACAGTAACACAGACCATACCGTCCGACACGTGTGATACCAGCAAGGGGCGGAGTTGGAAATCACGGTTCACCCCAGCAGAAAAACTAGTTGGATACATCATGAACTATGCTTTGGTTTTAGATCGATTTGCGCGTCTTTTATAGCTTATTTTACTATATTTAAGATAGTATGGCTGTGGAATATAGATAATATTAATAATTGTTGCCATTTACTGCATTGTGCCTTACTCGATATGACATTCAAAGAAAACGTGTGAGCAGTGCATCCCAGTTTTTAACCAAAAGATATGTATCATATTTAAAAAAATCTAGAGACGTATTATACCCTTGAATATATGTGTATAATTTACATTCATTATTAAATAGTACAGGGAAATTTAATTTTCAACGACTGTCAGAAGCTTATGGAGTATGAGCTCACATACGATTTGAAAATAGTTGCCTTTCAATACGAAATATTTATATTATGTCTTTTCCATTATGCGAGATCCATTTAAAAAGAACAGTTAAGTACAAGCGTTTATATATCTCTATAATATAACATGTCCTGGGCATAGGTTGCAATTGACTGATTTCATTCGTTCACATCTGAATACCGTGTTTCGCTGTAAGGCTGTTGAAGGGCTAAATTTAAGATGGACATCTACACACAGTGTTTATGTAGAAAATGTTAACATTGAATATTAGTTATTGGGCAGTAAAACTAATTAATACTTGAAACCATGTTTTTATAATTGACCTAAGTGATTGATACTTTATTCATTTTCTTACGTCCTTTTTTGCCACGTGACTGAAGCAGGCCGATCTGAAGCATTTTTAGGAAAACAATCTTTGAAAATATTTTTAAAATACAGTCCGCAATCAGATACAAAAAAAAAACAAAGATTGATACATGCGCATTGTGCATTAGAATACACAATGGGTCAAATTCATTGGCTAAAATAGACCATTTCTGGTTCATCATTTGTAGAGCCCGAAGTAAATAAATGACAATTTAAGAAGAGAAAAAGCATCTCTCTCATTTAATGAATCGACTGACAATAAAGATCCCTTCTGGCTCTATTTCCCAGAACAAAACGCATGAGCTGAAATGAAATACATAAGGGTGCACGATGCATGTACGCAGGTAACATAAAGACAGCTGAAGATATAAAAGTTCGGGTACACAATAGCTTCTCTCTTCTAGTTTGACTCCATGAAAAAAAAAGTCAATAATTAACCTGACACATCTGAACAGACAAGCAGTTTACACCACGACGGTGAGCTGAATAACCCGAAGAATGTCTAAATGCCAGATTAAATCAACATGCCCTTTACAAAGTAAATAAGAGTTAAGAATGTAACTAACCAATAACCTCAGCCACTACATTTGAGAATTTGACCAAGGGGACGGAACGTGTGGAATGAAGTTTGTGCCTTTTGAAGCAGAATAGCTTTGTATTGAAAACTGTAAAAAAAAAACGAGAAGTGCGTTTTAAACTTCGTACACGTGTTAAATAGAGGTGCTCTCTAGCAAACACACAGGCTTTGCGACAGTAGTGGCCTCCATGATGTCTGTCTCCCTAAAGAAGTTGGGAACGTTTCTGCTGTTTGTACGCCTCTCCCTTCTCTGAAGATAAACCCGAACCGGCAAAGAGCGCATATTTCCTGTTTTACCTTTTTTTTTTCAAAATGTCAAAATGACGTATGACGTATCCCTTAAAAAAAAAGGTGGAGTAAAACTACCCCCTCAAAATGCTCACTCTGAAATCATGGCTCATATTTTTGTTCATATTTACCCTTAAGCGTTATGCTATACGCTTGTCTTAGGCCTTTCTCAAAGGAATAAACCAAGCTACGTGAAAAACTAGCCACCTATGCCGGTGCGAACCTCAAGGGGGAATTGCAAAAGACACCCTCCACTCATGAAATCATCCAAATACGAAAACTGATACAATCTTTGAAACATCCTCATTTTCTGCCGCCTCCTTCCATACCCCCAAGATTATGTAATTACAGCGTCGCTTCTGCTTCGAGGGAGGGCGGAACTGGGCTACAGAGCTCATACGATTATTACACGCAGCCCGCCAACTGATCGGCTTGCTCAATTTTTCTGATTTAAAGAGCGCACAAAAAAAGTTCGTTTCGAGATAGCTAGGGAAACAGCACCAAGTTCAATTGTAGAGCTAGTGCTGTACTTACAGTAACTGTCGGTTTCAGAGCTAATAAAAAGAGAGGCTACTTAATCTTATAGAGGTATATCGTGTGTTACACGCTGTTAAAGGAGCAGAATAATACATGCATGCAGTATGTTTAACTTGCTACCTCATTTAGTACGCAATGATCTGCGTGCACATTTAATGAAAAATAATAATTGGTTGTACCGGAAACGCGAACACGCATAAATTACGGCGTATGTTTCGGTTCTCTGGTACAGGGGGTGGCGTAGGTGTTAGAAACCAATCGAAATAATGAAAAGGTTAAATTTTAAACGTCGGGGGGTAGCTTATACATTGTAGGTGTCTTTTTTTTATCGCTCCTCCAAGTCGTATACCGGCCGGCAAGCCTGTACAGTACAGTATTCGCAAGAGGCAAAAAAAAACTCCATGATTGACATTTCTTATTCCACCAATCAGAGTTCAAGATGTTATGGCCGCGTGCCAAGGTGGAATGTTTATATTTTTCCGGGGCCAATCAGAGTGAATGGAAGGCGGGGCACGAGGATTTCGCCCGGCTGCATGAGTTGGGGAGGGGGGGCGTGGCATGTATTTTTTGACAAAAAAAAACAATCTTTTTTTTTTCTCCTTACCGGCAGCTGCTGGGATCTGGTGTGGCAGAGAACCAGCAAAAGTCGTATGGCAACTAAGAAGTTGAGTTCGACAGTTTGTTAAATGCATTTTCTTTTTAGAAAAACAAGCAGCCCTCGACTCTCTTGCACCTCACTTTAGCCTCTGTTATTTCTCTTGATCATGAATTCCAAGCGTCTTCCCAAGAGGTCTTTGATGGGTATCAGAGTCTGCACTACTCCTGGTCTCACCGGTATCAGCCATGCAGGGAATAGCAACTTAAACTGCAAGACAGTTGCAACAAGGGACTTAGGGATAATACTGGCATGCAAGGATGATCCTGCATCTGGATGCTTTACTTATGCTCTGAGGCTGGACGATGGCACTTTGAAAGAACGCCGAGGTGAAGATATCATTTTGAATGGGATCGATTTGAAATCGGAAGAGAAAGAAAAACACCCTAACTGTTTGGGAAAGGTAGGGAGTGTGGACTGCTAGTTACTTTTAAGCGTTCCGTGGACAAGTGAAAGGGTACTTGAGCAGTACATTTGTCACTGATGTTGTATTTTCTGAAGTGTCTTAAACTTAACTTAAAATCTCTTACTTTTTATTTAAGTGTTCTGAAAAAAATATTCCTGCTTTTCTAATGGCAGGATGTAACAGTTCACGTTGAAGAACGTACTGTACAGCAACGCCAGTGTCTTGCTGTCCAAGTATTTTACGGTACTGAAGTGGAAATTGTGCCGAAGTTAAATTTGCTAAGATGGCGACTCAATGCATGTTCAAAGTTTAAAAGGGAAAAAGGGGGTTGGGACTTTAAAAAATACCCCCCTCCCCCACAGCAATACCGCAGTGATCAAAAAGCTATCAGCGTATATTTGCTAGGCCCAACTCGTCTGTTAAGTCTTGTCTTACGCACCTTGACTGCTCCCGTATTCGGAGCATTTTATAGAATCGACTGATTTTTCAAGGCCCACAGTTGAGTTTGCACGATTGCAAAAGGTCTTTTTCATACGACCACCTTATTAATACACAGGAGCTGGTCTGGTAACCTCATGACTTACTCCTCTCTGTTAGTGTGTTTTAAGATTGTTTCTAAGGCCATGGCATGATAGGTTCGCTTAACAGAAAGTCAAGAAGGTGCCTGAGCTGAAATGTCCCGTTCAGTCCGCTTATCCCTAAGGGTGGTTCTTACGTTTTACTTTGGTATATCGACTGTATTTTCTTTGAATTTGCATTTGTATAGTAGGCGTTGAACGAATTTTGGAACAAAAGAGTTTAATTGCTCACCATCCAGGTAATCATAAACTTGAAAGTTGCAAAGGCGGTTGCCGGCAATGTCGGTGTGTGTACAGCTGTGTAGCTGCGTCACGCCCCCTCACTTGTTATGTTTTTCACTGAGCGCGCTCAACACATTTAATTCTCCGCTCTTGGCATTGAATGGTGGATGAAATGTAATATAGTTGAAATAATTCTCATTTGTACCTACAATTTCTTCCTTTCGTAAAAAAAACGAGTTTCTAAATGTGCACCAACAGTGTCTTTTGCAAAAGTACGACTTTCCACACCGTCAGAAAAGATGAGTGTAGGCATCGCTATAAAAAGCTAGGGTCACACCGCCGTGAAGGCATTTACAGAATAGCTCAAGTCCCCCCAAAAGATGTTTGTTTACATACGTAAATTTTAACATGGAACAGTTTTATTTTTTAAAAGTATGGTGGCTATGTTGACAACAAAGCCACACCCTCCAGTCCACAGTGAAGCAGGCAATACAATTAAGTTACAGTTGTGCATATCGTCTGTTGCACTCCCACTTTAAGCCCGTATAATCATTTAGTAACTATTCGCTTTCTTTGAAGAGTTGGGTTTTAAAAGACATCGACACAAGGAGTTTTGGTTCCTTTAAGAAGCTGCACACTGTAACAGAGCAGTTGTAGAAATGAACCATGTTAACGTGTGTAGTATATACGGCATAAATGAGCTTAATTTTATAAGCATTTCAATTGATCGGTGTGCTCTCCCTCCATTGAATGGGTAGCTGCCAAGAATAGAGAGAACATAGGCCAGGAGGCTGAATATTATTGTTTAGAGGCAAGGAAGCACTTTTTCATTTGGAATGTTTCAAATGTGCAGAAGAATAGAAGCAATGCATCCAGCAGATGCTTATATGTTAAGAGAGCGGAGTCATTTTAACACTACATGTCTGCCCTGGAGCCCCTGGTGTGTTGGAAATGGACATGCCTTAATGGACCATTTTCTGACTCCGACTGCTGGTGTTTCCAGTTCTTCGGCACTGCCTAGAGCCTCGTGTTGTGGCATGAAACGTGGCTGTGCTCGATTAGCATAACAATGCCCGAAGATATGCAAGTGTAGTAAATCTGCTTTGTCTTTCTTCACACCCATTCACGTTTTTTCAAAAGCAAGTGATGATTGGAAAAAATCTCATGAAGGTCTCCTGTAGGTCTCATAGAGTGGCCTTGAGGACTGAGCCAAAGTGGATGTGACCAGATATCTTGAGGGTTCCCATGTGCATGGTGCAAGTCTCCCAAAAATGCCATCCATAATCTAAGCCCACCAGGTCTGGGTGATTTACCTGCTCTTGAGATTCAAAGAATGTTAGTCTTATTGCGTGCACAGGCAAAATAGGAGTCTTGTTGGGAGCAGGAGTTGAACCTTGTGTACCTAACGCCTTCTGCATATTGTAATAACGGACCTTTTCTTAACCAGGCAGTTATTTTGCTCCAAAAAAGTGTTGCAGTCCTTAAAAATGGTACAGTTTTTATTTGGGGAATGAGTGGATCAACCCAAGCACTTTCAGTGTGGTTACGCATTATTGGTGATCCCTGACAAAAGTGTTTTTTTAAACTAAAAGTTGAGAGGGGTCTATTGTTAGGAACCTATTCTCAGCTACAGTCTCCATGGAGTACCAACCTCAGCTTTTTTAATAGAGGAGGAAATTACTGTTTTATGTTGTTCTTCTTTGGATTGTAAATAAATGCCTGTGACACACAATTATTCCCTTTTCTTATAAGACTGTTTAAAAATACACTGCCGAAAGCTGTACCTCTTGTTAATCTAATTGATGGTCACAAACGAAGAGTCCACTCAAATAGTGCTATCATTACAAGTACAATTTATCTACAAACCAGGCGTATTTGGTCCATTTCCAGTGCATTTTAGGACTAGAGCTGCTGAACTCACTCTTATCTGTGTTAACACTGCAGCTGTTTTTATGTTACACTGATCTGCAAGAACATGTACAGTATGCTGCATTAGTGTCTTCGTTTCCTGTTTGAGGAGTGTATTTATACATTATTAGAAAAAGCTCAAATCATAAGATAAGAACTCCTTAATTTTGCTTTCAGATTCCCATAAGCTGGAACAGTGAAGAAGAAGATGGAGATGGAGTGTCGTGTGACTTTCAGAAGAGAAGCCCCACACATCGTCTCGATCTCGGTGGTAAGAAGCTCGAAGACCCAGCTCTGCTGGAAAGCAGATGCATTGTGAGGCGAGCTCCAGAGTTCAAGAGGGATCCATTGTTACAAGGCCTTGACCTCTCACTGGATGAGAGGTGTCTGCAGACTTCATCACACATCCCTGTCCCGAGACACAGGTATGGACCCAATATCCTCTTCATTTTTTGTTTCTTTTACTGTTGTGCAAAATAAATCCAAGAGGGGGTATCAATCAGTCATATGATTAATATAGGATGTACAACAATTCCTTTAAAGAACTACTGTACTCTACACTCATCTTTTGGGGTGGAGACAAAGTGCATTTTAGATACAGACGCTTTTAGTGTTCTTAGATGTTACTCTATCTAAAAGTCTCCTCTGTGGTTTGGAAGTGCTAGAGTTATAGTAACCATTCACCTCTTTCCAAAATGTTTGAAACTGACTGACTGGGTATGATGCCCCAGAGTATGATAAGCTAGCGAAACTGCAATAATAGGAATGTAACCCGGATATTATTTTCAGTAGTTAAAGAACTGCCAGAGTTGTCTCTCTTTAAATTGACCTTCATTTGCATTCTTCAGAAATATTACTTTTTTATTTTAATTCTAGAGTCCAACATTCTTGTTCCTTTAAATCTTTAGGATTTTAATGCATTGTGTTATGTTCCGGTTACTGTTACGTTTTCTTCTGAGCTTTATAAACCAGAGTAGTGGTTACTCTTCACATTCATTAAAAAGCTGCCCTTGGCAGATGAACACTTTGAGTGCTTTAATCAGGTACACTTTATATTAAAGATGGATCTCAAAGGTACTTGGGCTTGAATGTCAGAAAGCCTGAATATAAGTGTTTTGTTTTACATAATGCAAGCTGAGTGCTTTGTTACACGAGTCTGAAGTTTTTCTTTTTTTCTTGTTGTGTTATTAACTAATACGGATAACTGATATTCCTTTAAGTATTGGTTAAACTGCATTGCCTAGCAGAGAGAAGGAGCTATTGCTGTTGAGCTTATTAGTGCCCATTAGTAGTCACAAAGAGAATAGCAACTGCTATGATCGTCCAGGCTAAAGAAGAACTATTTTTTAATGCTATTTTATTTTTTTCTGCTTTCGTATAGAAATGTTCTACAATCTCGTTAAAAGTTGTCTCTTGTGCTCTGATTGAAGAAGATATAAATATTGCTGGTGATATGCTGTAAGTGGAATTATGAAATAAAAATTATTTTAGATAATCAGGTAGTCATAATAGCAGTTTTCATCTTAAACTTAAGGCTGTATCAACCAATACAGGGTAAGTGGGAAGGGGATTCAAATCTACAATGTTTTAAATATTTTTAAAAAATCAATGAATATGAAGGGAATTTAATAAACACTGCACTGTACATGGTATTGTAGATTACAGGTCAGAAATCTTTAACAGGTAAGAAAGTTCTTAGTCATCGTATCTAATTCACACATTACACACTGAAATGTTCTGTTTTTTAAATAAACGGATCTTCAAAACTGGGCCTTGCACAATAAAAGATACTTAATTTATCTGGAAGTACACTATCCCTCTGCAGATGTTTTGTGTCTCAAAACAGGTAGGTGTTTTTGTCAGGACAGCTCTGCGCTGTCCCAAGACCTCTGGATACAGTTAGCCCTGGTCCATGTGAGCCTTAGGGGAAAAATCCAAACTCCTCAAAGACATTACTACAGGTCCGGAGTTACACCCAGGGCCCGAGCACAACGAGGCAGCAATGCTAACCACTGTGTGTTTCCCCCAGAGACTATATGTAGTAATTTTTTAGAGTCAAAACAGTATTGAAACGGGTTGAATTAAGTTCTTTTTGCTTCTAGACTCTGAACTCCATGTGCAGATATTTGTTCTTATACATATAGTAATACAGTGCAGCATCCACCTGGATAAAACATACAATGCAGCCAATTTTCACCAGCAGCCCCACTACATAGCAGATTAACCCCAATGGGTAAAATCAAGGAATCTGTGAAGAGGAAAGTTTGAATGCAAGTATATTATGTGCTCTGTTTTATTTTAATTAATTGCAGCACTGCTTTTTAACTAAAAATGAAAATAAAAGCTAAAACATGTCACTGAGAACACTCATTCCAAAGCAGTGTAAATTATAGTCTTTAAATGTGTTTGTGTCAGAAATCACCATAGTAATTAATGCAATTATAGCACATTACATTCTGTGCTTACTTTAAGGAAGTGATCCAAAGTATCTGAAAAATGTTTTGTGATCTCGCAAGTAGAGAAATCTTAATTTTCCTGTAGTGTGATTAAAGTTCAATACATTTTGTGTCTTTAGCCTTAACATGGTTTTAAAACTTAGTATTTAAAAACTAAGCAAAATCAGAACAGACCTTTTCAATATGACGATCTTGCTGATGTGACAGCTCTTTGACAAGTAGTAACTATGATGGGTAATTTCCATAATTTCTCATCAGGCCAGAGCTCATCCTGGTTTCCGTCATGTATAGTGAAGCAGAGAGTCAGTGACTTCCCCCTCTGAACTGGATATTAGTTCATTAGAGGAATTACCCACCGGCGATACTGTCAAAACTTATATAGCTGGATAATGTACATCATTCAAGGTGAAGAGTCTGCAGCAGGGACTTGAACCCACAACCTACAGTACCAGTTATTAAATGAGAGGCTTATGCACTATGCTATGCTGCCGTTAACTAGGATAAAGGTATTCTCATTATATCATGTGTTTTTTTCATTCTCCACCCTTGCTGGTATTGCCAGCTATTCTCTAATTGGCATTGACATGCCCTGCTGTGCAGCCTTACTTAATAATTTGCTGCCAATTGTCAGTTGCCTGTTACTCTGCTATTCTAGCTTACTGTTTGCGCAGTCGGTTGTCTCCAGAATCTGTGTTTGTTTTGATGGTTGTTACTTTCTCAAGTCCCCAAATTTTCCCAAAGTGGAGTTATGCAAGTTTTTTTTTCTATAAACAGCTTAATGTATTTTTCCTTTTAGTTACAGTAGACCTCAGATCTACAGATTTCTTCCAAGGCCATTTGCCAATGAAATCATCTGTTAAATTTTAGGTTAACCACCACTAACCTTATATCCTAGACATTAGTGTATGCGTTATTCTTTAATTTCCCCTTACAATATAGAATCAACTTTGTCATGCTCAGACGCCTCTCAGTGAGTCACAGTAAATTAGGTTTTTTCAAAGCATTGTTAGGGAATTATGGAACATGCTGAAATGAAAATAATACTTATCCTTTTTAAAGAGTAGTGTGGCAAGGAATTAAGGGCATAAGGTCATTATAAAACTTTGAAATGTTGCACTTTCTTTGATAGCGAAGTGTATTTACAGCAGTTCCTGTATCAGAAATGATTATTGTAGGTATTTAACATTAGAGATGAATTATTACTACTGTTCAGCAGTTTAAATTATCCAGATTTTTTGTATTATTTATATGTCAATGGTACGTTAATACTGATATACAATATAAGCTTTCAAAAAGTGCACCTTTGGCTGTAGAATCAAAATGCAGGACTTGAAACTTCCCTTGTATGATGGAGAGGTACTGCTGGGAGAGGCTATTAGTTTAGTTTACAGCCATATATAGATTAGATTATCCAGTAAACAAGTCTGGACTTGCTCTGGCTGAGATGGGGGAGATAGTGGAGTCCTGTTTGTGAGCTTGATCTCCACAAAGGACTGGTTCAGCTCAAATGCAAGGTCCTGCTGGCATGAATAAAGTTTCTTTAAGCACCTTGTCTCTTTGTGATACAGGATCGATAATTCCTCGCGTTAGTGCAGTGCTTTTCATCTCAGAGGGACGTGCGCTTTATCTACCACTGAAGGGCAGCACCTACCTTGGGTGACATGCAACAGCCCCAGTAAGCTGCAGATCAAGTACATAACTGTGAAAGTAAATCACTATTTGAATTAATGCAACTTTAGGGAGCCTAGATTGTGCAAACAGAAAGAGGAATGTAGAAGGGACACCTAGAAGTCTTGTGTACATGGTCATTAAAGATCCCATAACATGTCAGTGTAATGTTTCTAAAGACTGTGCCTTCTACAGTACAATGTAGGTCACAATAATAGGGCATTAGTTTGAAAAGTGAAGAGTGCCAACTACTGGTCCACCAATATGACTTGCAGCAGCAATTTGGTTTTAATTAAAGATCTCCTATCCCCATACCGACTAGGTCCCACCTTGCTTAGCGTCTAAGGTCTGAGAAGATCAAGATGTAAAGTGGTAATGCAGCCTCCTCAATTAACAAATTTGTACTGCTCCAAAAACCACTGCAGGTACTAATGTTTGAAGCAGGTTTGTTTGATTTGATAAAGCAGAGTTCTAAGGTAAAAAACATTGTTAATAACAGCTTTGATATAGCTGTCTGAACAAATATATTTTGAATGGTCACATTTGAACTAAACTATAACTACAAACAGCTTATACTCTGATACAGAATAACCTTCTCATTGTAAAGGATGCCCAACCCTAAACAAGTACGAACCCATATACCATCTCTCTATTTCTCTTGTAGCTTGATGCCACAAGGCTTCACTGTAAGTAGTATGAGAAGCCTTTTAACAGGAATGTGTACCATTATGAAAACTCAGAGGTTTTTTTTGTTTAGTATATCTTTTGCAACTTACATGTGTACAAATGTCTTTAGATTTTTATTTGCTTCAGATTGAACATTCCAAATCCCCTTTCTTTTTCACCGAGAGTTGTGTGAAATTGACGTTGAAGAGTTTGGTTATATGGCAAATGAGAACAACTGCCTGGTAGTACACAATAATGATACGTAGATGGAACACAACAGGGAGTACTTTGAGTTTTAGAATAGGTGTGCTATAGTTGCCTTATGGATCCTGGAATTCAAGGAGTCAGGTTACAGTGTAAACAAGAGCACAGTCCACTCTGCGGCTTTGTCATTTATTTCCATCCATCCAACCAAACAGTTGTCTAACCACTCTACCCAATACAGAGTCGGGGGGAGTTGGAGCCTATCCTGGCAAGCAACGGGAACAAGGCAGGGTACTCTCTGGGATTCCTGTCCATCACTGGGCACATACAGACAAATGCATACACACACTGACACCAGGGCCCATTTCCCCAGAAGCATATTCACCTAGCAGAATGACTTTGGGCTGTGGAAGGAAAGCGGATGACAATCC